CCTCTTCCCCTCGCCCCCACGCGGCACCCAAGGATGGCCCGAAGACCTTGCTCGCTTTGTTTCCCTAGATGTGTCTCTTCGTCCCTTTTCCCGTCGACTCTGAAGGGCAGGGCTTCTGAATGGGCTGGTGGGGATAAGCGAGGCGTGAAGAATTGACAAACCATCGCAGCAGGAAGGGCTGGGTGGGCGGGGCAGGACGTCAGATATGGCGCGGGCGCGTCCAGCTTGCCTCGCTTCCCTCTCCTCTCTCCTCCTCTTTCTTCCTCTCTCGGCTGCACGCCTGTCCTCCCTCTCTCTCTCTCTCTCCTCTCTCTTCCTTCTCTCTCGTCTTCTCTCCTCCTCTCTCTTTCTCTCTCCTCATCTCTCTTCATTCTCTCTCTCTCCCTCTCTCTCTCTCTCCTCCTCTCTCCTCTCCTCTCCCCTCTCCTCCTCTCTCTGCCTGAGCCAGAGTGACCTTTGGTGCGCGGCTTCAGGGGACCACGGTGGGGCCACGTCCAGGCGCGCAAGCCAGTACTGGGGGGCACTGGAGGGGGTCCCTCTGGGCCCGCACCAGAGGTCACTCTGGCGAAGGGTCACTCTGTGGTGCAGTCGACTGCCTCGTACCTCCTCCAGCTCCCCATTGGAGAAAAGGGGGGAGACGCTGAGCGCGCCACTGCTATTGGCCGCCCGCTTCACCACGACCCTCTGCCGTGCGGCCTGCCTGCGGGCCCAGAGCTGCGCCCTGGGTCATCCCTCCTCCCCTGCCTGCCCCCCCTCCTCCCCCCAACCCTCCAACCTCTAACCTCCCCCTCCGACCTCTCTAATCTCTCTTAACCTCCCCCTCCAGCCTCTCCAACCTCTCGAACCTCCCGCATCCAACCTCCAACCTCCTCCTCCGACCTTTCTAATCTCTCCAACCTCCCCCTCCAATCTCTCCAACCTCTCCGACCTCTCGAATCTCCCCCATCCAACCTCCAACCTCCCTCATCCAACCTCCAACATCCAAGCTCTCCAACCTCTCCAGCCTCCCCCATCCAACCCCCAACCCCCTCCTCATCCCCTCCCCCTCCTCCTCCTCCTCCTCCTCCTCCTCCTCCTCCTCCTCCTCCTCCTCCTCCTCCTCCTCCTCCTCCTCCTCCTCCTCCTCCCCCCCAACCTCCGACCCCCCCTCCTCGCCTTGCCGCAGCACCACGACCGCGGGGGCGGCCGGCGCGCGGCCGCCGGCCAAGCGTGGGGGTGTGGGGGGGTCGGGCCCGCGCCGAAGCTGGACTTTTCCGGGAGACATCCTCGAACCTCGATCCCCGATCGGCAGGAGAGAGATAGAGAGAGAGAGAGAGAGAGGACACGGCTCCTCCTCGTTCCCTGTTCTCTCCCGCTCCCCCAAGACCGTCGCGCGAGGCAAGGGGCATAAAGATATGCCCTGGCGACAGAGCGTTCGATTGGGGCCGTGCACGTACGTATCGCGCACGACTCTGCGGCGAAGCTGGTCCGACAAGACGGCCCTGGCAGCGCGGCTGGGCCATCGACTCGTGCAGAGCAGCGGCACTTCTACTCTCCCGAGCCTGTGCGCTGCCGCGCGAGGCCCCAGCGACAAGGCCTGCGGTCGGGAACTTCTGCTTCGCGTGTCGCGGCGACGGCCCTGACGACTCGCTATGCCCTGCGAGCTGTCAACGTGCCGCTCCAAACGTGGTGGGCTAGAACCGGCGGCGCGACACGCCGACTGAACAAACCTTCCCGACCGTAGCCCGTGAGCAATGTACACTCGTCATCGTGCTGCCACAAGGAACTCTGAGGGAGGAGCGAAGGGTTCTCTCATGGCCACGACCAGCTTCGGCCACGAAGAGGCTCCCCGACCTGGACCTGAAGAGCGGCCGACAACCGAAGCCCCTCCTGAGCCCAAGGTGGTCCTTATCTCATCGCCTCGGGTGTGGGTCCGCCAGCCCCCGCACAGCACGGGGCAGGGTCGATCGGCTCTGGCAGGGCACGGCGCACCACGAGAGCCCGATCTCTGGACGGGGGTGTGGAGTTTTGGTGCGCCAGGGCCTGCCACGTAAATTTTCTCTTCCCCCAACGGCAACCCACTGCTTACAGTGGCCCAGTGCCACTCGATTTCGGAGCAGTGGCCAGGCCAATCCGCCAAAGCCGTGCCACTGTAATGGATAACATCGTGGGAGAACGGGTGGTCACCCTGTGTGGAAGTTCCTCTGGCCTGACCGGCCAGAGGCACACATCACACACAACGGCAGAAAGGAGGATAACAACCAGGAGAGAGCATCACCACACCTATACACACGTATGTTTGTATACCTAGCATACATTTCACACACACATACATTCACACATATATACACATATATACACATATATATACACATGTAGAGAGTTTGAGATCTCGTGAGAGAGCAATCGCTCGCACATGGTAACAGAACGCACCAACGTTTGACCCGTAACTGCTTCCCCAAACATAGCTGCCATACAATGTTTAAGGTCTCTCTTTTGGTGTAGGTTTCGTCCGCCTGGG